AGACTAACTCCCTTCATCAATTAATACAGACTCATACCAGACCAGCAGCACGGTTTTCGCAAGGGAAAATCCACAACAACTGCAACAGTTGACTTTTATAATAATGTATTGTCCGAGATCGACAAAAGAAACTCCTCTGTTGAAATTTTTTGTGACTTAAGTAAGGCTTTTGACTGTATTCCTCGTAATAGTCTACGATCCCGCTGCAGAATCACTACGTCCATAGCGTAGTTAACCAAACTCAGATTTTTACATACATTTGTGAATAGGAGAATATATTTAAGACCGGGTGCCATGTAGCTAATGTTTCCTAAATTATCGAATCAAATTTTTTTCGCAAGATTTTCAGGACAACTGTCTACTGATTAATTAGGGAGAACATGTTTCACAGAATCTGCTTCAGAACCATTTCTCAAGCTGCATTCGATCCTTCCAAGTGATGAAGGGTTTCGTAGGGGTATTGACCCGGCTCTTACTCCATGAAGTATTTTAGTAGCTTGATTTTTTCAAATAAAAATATTGGCGGCCACTTTTCAACTGACAACCTGTCATCAATGCATTTTCCTATTCATAAATGTATGTACAATTTTGAGTTTGATTAACTACGCTATGAATGTAGTGATTTTGCGGCGGGATCCTGTACTATAAGGCACTGCTACAAAAACTGGCTTTGTGGCATACGAGGAATTGCAGCCAAATGGTTCGAATTATATTTTTCCAATAGAAGTCAGTTTGTCCAATTTGTTTCAAAGAAGTTGACTGATCTATTAGTAAGCACTGCTCAGATGCCTCGCAACTGGATCTGGGAGTGCCACGGGGTAGTGTTTTGGCTCCAATACTATTTTCTTTGTGATGGGTCAGTCTCCACCGGGGTCCTCAAATCCTCGTCCTGGATTACTGTAGGTCGACCACTTCGAGGCTAAAATCTCTGAAAACAGTGCGTTCATTAACACTATGAGTGCCAAATGCCTGCTTAATTTTTTGGGCTGTTTCGGCAGCGCTCTGGTTCAGTTTGAATTCTTAGAAAAAAATTGGCCAAAAATCGCTTAACGATATCTAACAGTAATAAGCTGAAAATAGTCAAAAAATAACATTTGGAAAGAAATGAACGGCATCAATGTTTAGAGAACAAAACTCTATCGATCAGTATATAATAATAATAACTTTAGTCGTCTTTTCGATATATCCCTTATTAGTTAATAGCTCCTTTGTTTTTTAAATGGTATAATATGCAAATCTTTAATATCTTGAGGCAACGTATTGAATAATATTATGCCATTATATGCAAGTGATTCCTTGATTGTCTATGTTTTGGGATAGTNATTGTTTATGTGATATATTTAGAAGGTTTCAGCGTAATGTATTAATTCTGAGACTTTCATTCCAGTTAAAGGAGTCTCTAAAAAACCAATGACGGAAACTTTATTAGAAGAAAATGTGACATTTGATTGCTCACCCGATAATAACGTACCATCTGAAGGCGAAGCACTTTTAAATGCAGAATTGGAGAGTGATACGCCTTTATCACCTCCTTATGTGAAAGCACCTTTGGAGGATAGGTCAAAGTACGAAAAGTTGACACAACCAGTTTACGACATGTCCTCAAACAGCAGTTCGGAAGATGAAAATGTTAAGTCGAAGAAGAAGAAAAAAATTAATATTCCTGAGAAACTGCATTCTGTATACAAAACTGTAGAAATGCCTATAAAGAGTTTAAGATCTGATCGTAAGAAAACTGACAGTAAAGCGAAGAAGAAGCAATCCAGCAACGATCAAAACTCCACCAATGCAGATTCTGATGACTCGATTGGGTCAGCTAGCGATTTACGAATAGATGATGAAGACGTTCCTGCCCCGATTAAGGAAGATGCAATTAGCGAAACAATTAGTGAAAGCATAAAAACGTGTGGTTCATCAGCTTATCACGCAGAATGTGAAAGTATGGCGACCCATGAAGATGACTGTACAAGTAGGATAATAAGGAATAAACAGCGCGAATTAGTTAAAAAAGCAGCTATTCAATCGGAAGACATGTTATTTGTAGGACATCAGTATGGCGAACGCCCGCTACTTTTAGATGATGAGTTTGACTCTGACGGTGAAATCAAATATGACAAGTGGAGGCCTGACAAAGACAAAAATAAGGCTGATATTTGGATAGCGCCCTCTAGCAGTTTTGAGGACCGTAATGATGTCTTTGCTTTGGCACCTTTCGGGAGGTCTAAGCTCAAAGGCAAAGATACAGTGGTAGAAGATTCCTCAAAAAAACAATCTGTAATTTCTTTAGAAAGCGTGGAATTCGAAAGTGAAATTAAAGAGGTAGTGTTTCCTGATTGCGAAGAAAATCAAACTGTTACCACTCCTAGTCTCAACCCATTTTTGAATGTTGATTTTTTGCCAACTACGAATCAGCTGATAATAGATACTACTACTCTTACTACTACTACTGCTATTCGAACTACTGAGAGTCCAAGCCAAACAGTCAAGTATTTCAACGATGAGAAGTTCCAGTCAAATTTTGACAACACGCCCTTTGCTAAATCCATCAGCTCATCTACTGATAATGTTATCGTTCCTTCTGAAAAAATTGTTTTTCCTGATCTCGTCATTCCTAAAGAAATTTCCGATAAAAAGCTGAAGCATTTCCCCAGCAAAACGTCCCGGAGTAAATTAAGTTTGACTTTCACGAATGACAATAATTCTGAAGGCCATGAAATGCCTCAGAAAATAAAAAAGGACAAAAAGAAAGACAAAGATCAAAAGTCCAAGTACTGTCTGATAGACGATAGTGTGTCTGATGATGGGCCTAGTTTCCCAACGAAGCCGGTGAAGGTTTCCAAAACATCCAGTTCTCATAAAAAAGGAAGTGGCAAATCGAAGAGATCGTCGCTCAAAGTCAAAACTGATGGAGGATTCAGTAATATGAGTTTCGAAGATTTTCCTACTGATGATCGGGATATAATTAAGAGTTCCATTGTACCTTTCGAAGTATTGAGGAGTCCAGAACAAGAGCAAAAAACTTTTGGCACGAGAAGGATCGGAAACCCATTTTCCTGAGTTAGTATGGTAATTTTTTTTCATTCCTCTTTGCATAGTTTCCTTCAAGGAGGATACAGTAATTATGGCGGTCATACAATTCTTCGATGCCTCTTCATCGGATCTGAATTTCTTCCAGCAAGCATTCTTTGCGGTCTGGGAAAAAGTCGCTGGGAGCCATATCTGGAGAATACTGTGGATGCGGAAGCAATTCTCAGCCCAATTCATGCAATTTTGTCATCGTTTTCATTGATTTGTGACACGATACATTGTTCTGATGAAACATTACTTTCTTTTTTTTCAAATGGGGCATTTTTCCGCGTTTTCGTCTATCTAATGCTCCAATAACGCTATGTAATAGTCGGTCGCTGTTGATAGTTTTCCCTTTTCGAGATAGTCGATAAATATACCATGCGAATCTGAAAATACTGATACCATAACCTTGCCAGCCAAAACAAGGCTCAACATCATTAATTCGTTGTTGTTTTTGATCGATTGTGAGCACGCGCGGCACCAACTTCATTTTGCGGTCATCCAAGATTATTTTGTGGACTTTTTTGATGTTTTCGTCGGTAGCAGCCTCTCTAGGGCTTCCACTGCGTACATCGTCCTTGGTGCTCATTCCACCTCGTTTTAACTTACCAGACAGACCACTTCTCAATGGTTGATTTTCCTGGTGCAGAGTCCGCATAATGTTTATCAAGCCAAGCCTTGGCTTCAAGGGTTTTTTCTTCGTGAAAAAGCAATGCTTTATCAACACATGAAATTCCTTTCCATCCATTTTTTTCAAACTAACAAAAGTTGCTTCACACAAAACGTTCTATCCTATAAAATGATAGTCCGACAGCTGTGAAATTTTTACACGTGTATTTCGAAGGTTAGGCTTAACTAAAAATCATATAGATTTAATTCTATTAGTGCCATCTGTGTGTTAGCCTACGAATGTTTCACTCCATCTGACCCATTACTTGTTGAAAATCACTAACACTATTCATGATAATAATTACAAATTTCAACAATATAGACTCTATTTCCAATATGTTTGTCACTGCAAAGTAGTTTCACCAGTCCAACTGAGGAAAGTACTATATAGTGGAATGAAGTCTACATTGTGAAAATCTGAATAATTATTATCATAAATAGTTAATTCAATTGTTCATACAAAGAGGGGATCTAGAAATTCTTACTTTAGAGGTGGGACCAATAATTTGAATAATCGCATTGATTATTACACGTGAATATTTCAATTTGATTAAAGTATTAGCAGTTCTTCATATTCTGATACTAAAAACTGTAATTTTGAGTAATTAAATATGAGATATTTTAGAGAAATACAAATTCAAATTTTGAACGAAATGGCGATCAAAAGGAAATATTTCTTCCTTAATTTTTTCAGATTATTTATGAGCATAATATTCAATAATCATGTTTATTTTGTTTAATTTACAACCAACAGTTATATAAAAATATCAAATATTCTCTATTGGTGTCTTGATATGTCTCGCCTATAATCCAGTTTTTGTAAATTATCCACAGTTTTGGTCCCTTCCTAAATTTTTTCAAATCTACGACAGTTCAACACTGAATAATTTCCAACCATCATCCAATTTCTAAGAAGTGATATCAGTTTTGATAACAGTTTCAAATTCAAAGATGTCACCAGTCATAAACTTTAAGGAAAACCTTATTATTTTTGTATTCCTTTTATATGTTTTAACTAAGCAACAGATCCGTATGTTACCTCATTGTTCAGGAAAATTGAAAATTTTGCCTCCAATGCCACTTTTTAACATTTTCAAATGGGCAGCATATACAAAAGAAGTACCTAATTATTGATTGGACTCTGAATCACAGTACTGTGATAAATTTAAAAATGAAACAAGTTGTTCAAGATTGTTAATTGAATGATCAGTTCTATTGTAATAAAGAAAACCAAAGCGCGTAACTTAAGTAAAAACATTGTAAATAAATAGATTAGAAAATCGAATATATTTTAAACAAACATCTCTTAGAAAACATAGAATGTCTATCCACAATTTGTAGTTTAGTCAATTCTGGAGTGCTGAACAATTGATTTTTAAATTAGGTGAGAATATCTGACCGAATACATTTTTTAGCCCACTTGTCAATTAAAATACACTTTCTCCTTGTAAGAACATAAGGTCTCTTGGTCCAGTTCTCACGATAAGAGAAAACAAAATCAAAACTGGATGTGGTTGATTGCAAACTGTAGTATTAAATGTTTCATCTGCTACTGCGGCAGACATCTTCAGTGGTATGTACATTGAGTGAGAGGGCTAAGGTAGTACCTCTAAGATTCAGCAATGACTCATGTCCTCAGATAGTAACAAATGAAACGTTTGATACTAAAAGTTCAATTCCACCTTGACCTACCAACCTGGATTTTGTTCTCTCTAATATTTTCTCCAATTTAATGAGCAAATTTAGTTAAATTATTTCAAGTAGAAAATTCTTGAGTATATTTTTTTTATTTAAATTCCAAAAACAACCTAGCTATTGAATTCTAATTATTGTAGAAACCAAAAGATGAAATGAATCAAAAAGACAAGAAAATGTTGCAAGAGATACATGTATTCAATACTGTTATTTAAATAAATAGTGATAAATAAATCACATAGGGGGGGCACCATTATGATCCAAATTAGTGATAGGTTGAAACAGAAATCTTTGTGGAGAGATGAAAATTCAACTTATTAACAATCTCCTACTGTTATTTATTGTTTGGATTATGGGGGTAAATATAAAAAAATTGCTAATAGTTTCAAACTAAAACAACTAATTATTCCTCTAGACAATTAATATACTTTTTTAACTTTCCATATTTTTTAGATTTCTAAGATATAAAAAAGACGTTTTATTGCTAAGGTGAAAAGTGGGTCATATTTGCCTAAGATACAAGAAGTACTTCGTGCACTAGGTTGACTTTTTATGAGGCTGTGATCTACGCAAATCATATATTTTATTACAAACATTACATTCTCAAGAATAAACCAGCAGACATACTTTTTTAAAAAGGTGAACATTTTTCATAGTAATTTACAAGTTCACATTTGTACAAATGAAATAAAAATGCATTATTCAAGAAATTACTATAATTTCTCAAAATTACCAGTACATCTAAATCTGTCTGAGGAAATGTAAAGTAGACCTTTTCAATAGAAGGATGTTAGAAATTTTTTAGTATCCCCTCACAATCCATATTTGGATTTTGGAGATGAAAGAAAATGTGTCGTGGGATTTCAGTCAGGTATTATTAAAATCATTGATCAGTGCTCCTTTCTCAAAATAATATTGCAGCTGTAACAGTGGTCAATTAGGTAGCTATGTATTAATGAAATATTTATTTAGTATCTGGTCAGGGCCTGGGGCTTTCCGAGTGGCTAGACACCTCACGATGCCTTCACTTCCTCGGGTGATGTCAGTGTCAGGGGTTGCGCGTTGTCCCTTCGTTGCCGTCGTATCCTTTGTATCGTCTCTTTGACCTGGTTTTCGATTTCTTCTACTTCGTCCGTGAACGAGACATCGTTTTCTTTACACTTTCTTTCTAAAACTACAATGCTGGAATTTGTCTCTGGCTTTGAAAATTTATACCGCATCAGTAGATGTTATCATTTATATCACTAACATTTTCCAATTTGGGATTGTTTCCAAGTCCAAACTCAAAGTGGGTACGGGTATTGTGAGTAACAACTTACGTTTATTTCCTCATCTCTGATTTTGAATTTTTTTTATATCACAATATCAGTTTAACACAAATACTCATTCTACATAGCCACATGCCGAAACTGTAACACTTTTCGCAATGCAACAGAAGTTGTTATCATCAGCATAATAATAATAATACTAATGGTTGCTATTGCTTCATCTACAGTACCCAGTAAACCAAAGTGAAAAAGTATTCTTTGAAGTAAAATTTGTTTGTGAACGAATTTTCATAAAATTCACTCAAATTGTAAGTTAACTATATTCACGAATTATGGACTTGAAATAGATGGAAAAATCCAATCTATCATTAAATTGCCTTCAAAACTGCATTTCTTGATAATAATTCAGATTCTTTATGGGTACAAATGATAAACTAATGCATTTTTCTCTTCTTATTATTCATTTATTATCAATATCTTATTTAGGTACCTAATTATGATGATTTTGGAACAGCTTTTTTAGAAATATTTTTATTTTAAAAAAAGGTTCATATCCCTTCTTATTTCTTTACGCTTTTTTGTTTTTTTCTATGTCTTTCATTTTATTGTTTTTTTATTTCTGTTGATTACTCAAAAATAAAGCACATTTCCCAATCACCAGAACTTCAATACAATTCTTGACGAATACATTCCAACTTGGCTGGCGTGTCAAGAAGACTATTGCATTTCTGGTGTTCAGGAAAAGTGATTATTTTTTGTATTTATTCTACGCCAGAGGTTCCAAATCCACCTTTTATCTGTTTATTACCATTGGGAAATTTAAAATTTGTATTGTGATTGTCTCTACTAACTAGAATGATATTAATATTATTCTTGTACAGCTATTATTGTATTTTATTTAGCAATAAAATTGCTTTATGTTAAAACTCTCTATTTATTTAACCTGACACTATCTGGCAAAAGTAAACTTTAGAATATATTGGTGGTTTGAGGATTATTGACGCTAAACTAAAGCTTTGAGGTTGACTGTTTTCTAAACTGAGCCACCAATATCTTCGAAACTGGCGATGAAACTGAACAATCTTATTTATACTTGGAATTTTCTTGGCTATTTCTAAAAATGGCTGTTCCAGAATAATGGTGGTGGGATTTCAATTTTAATAAATAATGAAAGAGAGAATTGAGTAACTAATCAAATCTTCTCACACAAATGTCAAAATATGTTGTTGTGTTTATAGATTAACGTTTTTAGAATATCATATAAGAATAATATACTGTAATATTTAAAAGTAGTAGTAACCCACTTCTGTTACTTTGAAACAGCCTTTTTAACAGCAGTTATTTTTCGCCGTTTTGAGTGGTTCTGTGGTATTTGTTGATGACGAATTGAA